CACACACACACACACACACACACACACACACACACACACACACACACGTCTGCTGCAATATAAGTACAGTTTATCTTGAAAGATTTTGCAAATGATTGACATGTAGTCTGAGGGCAGAGGTCACAGGTTTGCTTGCTGTCACTGCGGTGACCTCTGTGTTGTTGTCATGGTGACAGGTGGTATTTTGGGAAGATGGGGAGGAAGGATGCGGAGAGACAGCTGCTGGGCAGTAGCAACCAGAGGGGAACTTTCCTCATACGAGAGAGCGAGACCACCAAAGGTAAAGAGGCCACTCTTACACACACACACAGACACACACACGCACGCACGCACACACACACACACACTCTTTCAATAGAAGCTTACTTCTCTAAATATATGAAAGCTTTCAATTTCTTTCTCTTTCTATCGCTCACCTCAACCCCACTATGTGCTTCTTCGTCCACCCCTCCCCTCCTTCCTTCCCCTCGTTGTATCCCTCCCTCTTTCTCTCTCCTTTCTCCTTTCAGGTGCTTACTCTCTGTCGATCCGTGACTGGGACGATAACAAGGGAGACCACGTCAAACATTATAAGATCCGCAAACTGGACAATGGTGGCTACTACATCACCACGAGATCACAGTTCGACACAGTGCAGCAGCTGGTAGAGCACTACACAGGTAACACACATAAACACACACACACACACATGGACCCTAATTCATCCTCTTTATTTTGCTTCTCCTTCAAAGTGAAAAAAGAAATGTCTGTGTTGCCATTTTCTGATGGACCTTCATGCTTCAAGCTCCTGCTTCTATGAATTTTACTTACAATTTGTTCTGACTCTCTGCCCGATCATTCTCTGCCCAGCTGCTGGAGAGACTTTAGTTATGTTAATCTACTTGATGCCTACTGTAATTACACTATTAACACGAGTGGGAAGTAAGTACTTTTACTGTACATAACTACAATTTTGAGGTATTCTACTTGAGTATTTTCCAGTTGATGCTACTTTCCGCTTCACTACATTTCAGAAGGAGAATTGTGTACTTTTTACTCCACTACATTTACCTGCCAAATTCAGATTTTACATAGAAAGAATATGATCAGCTTATAAAAGATGATGCATTGTTATCAAACTAGTCAATAGTAGAGTAAGTAATTATAATGAGTTCTACCTAGACCAACAACAGCATTACAATTAGGCTTACATGCATCAGAAACAATAATCTACTGATGTAATATGTATAATAATACATAACTCTTAGAGCACTTTTACTTGCGATACTCTTGGTGGATTTTTCTAATTTTACATAAGAAGAATTTTGGATGCAGAAGTTTTACTTGTAATGGACATACTTTTACTTTAGTAAAGGATTTGAATACTTATTCCACTAACTTTATAAGTTTGATTCAGCGTTGACGTCAACTGTGAGCGTTCACACCCTCCACTTCCTCTGCTCTCTGTCAGTGTAAATCTGCCCCCTAGTGGCAAGAAGTTGATATAGCAATAATTCTGCAATCGTGACTTTACCTGACACGATCATCAAAAGCAACCTGAGAGATTTGGCCACATATATCCTGCATAATGTATTTGTTTTTCTTATGAACTGTATCGTCCCTGTATTTTCTTTTTTTTTCTGTACATGATGCTGCTCTGAATGTGTGTTTGTGTCTGTTTTGCTGAGTTTTCCTTGTGCCTTTGTACTTTAGTATTTGGTTAACTTGTCAGTTGCATAAGTGCAGAAGCAACCTGTCTTGTTCTTTTTTTTTATCTCTGCATTTGCTGCTTTTTTCCCTCTGTTTTCTTTCCCTCTGTTCTTCTTTCCTTCGCCTGCTTGTTTGTCTCTCCTCTCTCTCTCTCAGAGAGAGCGGCGGGACTGTGCTGCCGTTTGATTGGCAACTGCAAGCGGGGCATGCCTAAGCTGGCCGACTTATCAGTGAAGACCAAGGATATGTGGGAGATTCCCCGCGAATCCCTCCAGCTGATTAAAAAACTGGGCAATGGCCAGTTTGGAGAAGTCTGGATGGGTAGGAATGGTGGGACTGTGTTGCAGTGGGGGAAGGTGACAGCTGGAGCACACCTGGATAAAATAAAGTATTAAAAGATGAGCAGGTACATATAATACATTTAAGTCTTGGTTGTGTCCAGTTGACAAGAACTTCAGTAACACTTCTGGTGTGAAGACACCTGCACTTTCATAAACATACACTGTAAAGCCCTGTATATCTGTTTGTGTTGTTCAGAGTCTGTCTACCTGCAACAAATATACCTGTGGATTGGACCACACAAAATACACACACACAGTTGAAGCATGTAGTCTGGAATAGTTCTTTAAATGTTGTGTGTTGAGTTAAAACTGCAACAGTGAAAAATAAACCTTAATAAACCCCTGTGTGTGATAACAATTGCAGAGGCAGCAGTTAATGGACAGCAACGTGGCTTTGTTTTACATCCAGGTGTGCAGAGTTGTTCCCCTCTTCCCCTGTTGTTGCATGTGCATGTTTCATCATCTCACCTCACCAATTTGTCACTCCCCCCCCCCCACACACCCATCTCTTTTTCCATTTTTCCACCCATCACATCACCCGTTTTCTCCCATTCTACAATACACTTCCACTCTTTCCTTTCTCTACATCTCCACCCTCCTTCCTCCCCATAACAGGCACTAATGATGGGCTGTGTTGTTACCTGACCATGTCCTGTCCCAACTCCACCCCACTCACCATGGGCCTTGGGCGGGACGCCTGGGAGGTGCTAAGGGAAACTCTGTCCATGCAAAGGAAGCTGGGACAGGGCTGCTTCGGGGACGTTTGGATGGGTGAGACTGACACCACCAACCTCTGACGCCCTCTGCAGGCTCAGAGGGAGAACTGTCTGTCCAGCATTGTCGTCCGTAGTGTCCGTTACTGTCCTGTATTGTTGGTAATGTTGAATGTCATTTATTTCTGTGTAGGCTAGTGAAGTTTGATGTTTTCCCCAGTATCGCTTGGTATTCCCATGTGATGTATTTCCAATTACATGTCTGACCAATTTGTTTAGAAAATGTCGTACAGTTTCTCTGACTAAATGCGAGTGTGTTCGGTTTTCTGAGCCGTGCAAATCTTCTCCCTGAAGGTGTTGATGTAAGACCAGTAAAATCTCCCTCCCTCCTAACATCACTCTGTCTCATGTCATGCATGCTCTCCAAAACAGCAATCATTTGCATGCGACAGAAGTATAACCACATGTGTGTTTGTTACAGCCTGCATATTGTGTTCCATGTTTTTTTTCTATTTTTTTACATCTACATGTATGTACATGTAGTCTTCACCATCAGTATGCCAGAAAATGTGTGTGTATGTGTGCGCCGTCTGTCTTTGTGTGTTTCCATGTGCTATGTGCGCGTTAACATCTCCTTGTCTCTATGCCAGGCATGTGGAATGGTACCACCAAGGTAGCGGTGAAGACTCTAAAGCCAGGGACCATGTCCCCCGAGGCCTTCCTGGAGGAGGCTCAGATCATGAAGAGACTCCGCCATGACAAGCTGGTGCAGCTCTACGCCGTCGTGTCTGAGGAGCCCATCTACATTATCACCGAGTTCATGAGCCAAGGTATCAGGCTGAGTAAACTGTCATGCCTGTGATGTAGTGTAGATACACAATGAATCCCTGCGGTTGGTTGGAAACCTCACTGACACTGAAAAGTGAGCTCCTCCGAGTGTTAGTAGTAAGTGCAGTCGTTCATGAGAGAATAGAGAACATTCTTAGAAACGTCCTATTGTGCATTGAATTCCTTAAAAAATGTTGGGATCTGTCCCTGTCCTAGCTTTCAACCATTTTGAAATATACCGTGAACAAAAAAAACAATGAACAAATTTGTTGGAAATTTGTAATTTGTTTTAAGCCGCCATGCCTCCCTGCTGGGCAAAACACCAAACTACAAATTCCAGGGATTCTCTTTCCTCTGGTGGCCATGGGGCGGGTGAAACATTACTTTAGAATTCACTGGAAACTAAAACGAAAGAGACATAAGTTTGCATTAAGATATTTGCATGCACAATAAACTCTGTAACCATGAATTTACAAGCATCTCTCTGGTTTTGATTGAAATTATATTTTGTACCCGCGATATGAGTTAAACTACAGGAGGCAAAAGGACTGGCCAGTCATGACGCAACAATCTTGGTTTTTCAGGAAGCTTGTTGGACTTCTTAAAAGATGGGGAGGGGCAGGATCTTAAGCTGCCTCAACTGGTGGACATGGCTGCACAGGTGAGTTAAGCAGACACACACACACACACACACAATGACAGACGTAAAGGAAACTCATACTTTTACTATCTTGTCTGAGCTCTATTTGTCTTTTTAGATTGCAGCTGGAATGGCATACATCGAGAGGATGAACTACATCCATCGTGACCTGCGAGCAGCTAACATACTTGTTGGAGACAACCTGGTGTGCAAGATTGCTGACTTCGGCCTGGCCCGGCTCATCGAGGACAACGAGTACACAGCCAGACAAGGTAACAGCGTGAGATGTTACGTGAGTGTGTACGAGTGAGAGAGACAGATGAGGAGAGCAACGATTGCACAATGTGATGATTAAGAGTGTCTGCCTCTGCCTCCGTGCCTATATTTTTATACATAACCTATCCTAATTATATGATTATGCGTCTTCGCTGTGTTGCCATGGTTTTCAGGGGCGAAGTTCCCCATCAAGTGGACGGCTCCTGAAGCTGCATTGTACGGACGCTTTACCATCAAGTCAGATGTCTGGAGCTTTGGCATCCTACTAACTGAACTCATCACCAAGGGACGTGTGCCATACCCAGGTACTGGACGATACCTGGATGCTAGTTCAGTATTTCCTCATCTCACGAAGTATCGTCCTCGGCAGTGAGAATTCTGCAGGATTTAGTCATTTTTCTGCAACAGCTTTGGTTAGGTTTGCAGAGTTTACTGAGATTTTCAACCAGACCAAACTACATCATAGCACTTGATGAGTTTAGGGCCTTAGTGTCTTTCTCAAAAGTGCTTCAAAAGTAGACATGAGGGAAGGGGAGACCCTCTTTTAAGCACCTGCCACCCTGGTGTGCAGATCATGCTGTGTCCATTTTTGATTTTACTGTGTCCTTTCACCACAATAGTTTCTCATACAAGATGTCATTGATACACCGACACCAAGTATTGCTCATTTTACACAATTTTTTGATGAAGAATTTTCATGAAATCAATAATTTATTTTCTGTTAAACTTGCTATAAGGGGATTTGAAGTTCAAGTTGTATCATTCTGTTACTCCAGACTTTTTTGGAACTGTTGTAATATGATAATATAACTTCATTTATGAATTCTCTTTCACAGTAGTGTCATGGCAAAGACAGCAGCACCACATACAACAAAATAATACAAAACATATAAGACAGACTTACGATGAATGAGATATAATATTAGAGGGCAATAAAGGGTCAGAAGGATAATGTAAGATTAATCAAATAACATTAAAGCCACAAAAAACAACACCTTGCTGCATGTTTAATAGCAGTAAATAAATACATTCAATTTAAATTTTTCCTGTTTTATTTTTTATTATACAAGTTTGGAGGTGTGTTTTCTTCAGTTATAACCATATTCAGATGCGTCCTAAATTATTTTAATGTTGCAGTATAAAGTATATCTTTGCAGTATTTTATCTTTGCATTGTATCTTGAGTTCCTCTGTGTGATTAGCACCACTACTGCGGTGTGATCATTTCTAAGGATTTTCTTTTCTCTGCTTTAACTTTTCTCCATACCCAATATGTGTCAATTTTCTTGTCTGTTTTATGTGTTTTCTTTAAAATCCATCCCTCCTTCTCTGAACCCTCTCCCGCATCCACCCCCTCCCTCCCTCCTCCCTCCTCCATCCCTTTAGGCATGAACAACCGTGAGGTGTTGGAGCAGGTGGAGAGGGGCTACAGGATGCCCTGTGCCCCGGGCTGCCCCGCCTCGCTCCATGAACTGATGCTGCAGTGCTGGAGGCGAGAGGCTGATGAGAGGCACACCTTTGAGTACCTGCAGTCCTTCCTGGAGGATTACTTCACGGCCACAGAGCCGCAGTACCAGCCCGGAGAAAATCTGTGACCACACACGTGTAGGACAGATGTGGAGCAATAAACGGACAAACATAAAGAGAAAGACAGACGTGGGATGTATACATGCAGACACACCAATATGCCTTCATTGTATTTGTATTCTTACTGTGCACACACACACACACACGCACACACACACTAACATATTAAGATACATATCATTGCCTTGTTTTATTGTTTAAAGACAGTTTCCTCCTTTTGGTTATTGATCACTGTAGTGCAACCCATTCAGGACAGTTCAGTCAACCATGTTGAAGAGCGGAGTCGGATCTCTGCTGATCAGGCCTTGCAGTAATGTTGCTTTACTCTGTAACCATGACAACAAGGAACCGAAAGAAGATGTAGATGGTTGTGTTGAGGTGGGGCGGGGGGGGGGGGAGTGAAGTTGGTACATGATTTTTGTTCAGCTGCCTTAAATGTCCAGGTCCCTTTTCTGATTTCTGTCTCTGGGGAGAGCAGCTTCGAAGGACAACTGTTTGCCTGAGAGAAAGGTGTTGATAGAGAAACGATGGACGGTGCAACAGGTTTCAGACAACATTAAATAAACCTCGTGAACTTGTGTGATGGATTATGTATGCAGACACTGTGAGATATAATAAGATGCTTCCTCTTACTATATTCTAAAAAGGCTGTTGAACTGATCCATGTCCATCACCTGAAAGGGGGAACTGATTTCAAACTTGCTCCAACATCTGCTTTAAAGTGGTCAAATTAAGGTTGTTTTAGCATTTAAAGTACCTTCAATACTGTGTTAGTAAAGTCTGAGGGGAGAGATGGTAAGGAATGCTCTTTGTTTGTCTGATAATTTGAATGACAATTTAGTATGAACTGTCTCTGTTGCTGTTTTAATTTAACTCCGATATATCTGTGCAACACAAAGACTTATATATTAACATGTACACAGTTTTCATGCATTCAGGGTGAAATGTTACACATAAAGGGGAACGATCAATGCCGGTGGTCTTTGGAAGGAAAGTGTTTTAAATCTGTTTTGTTTTGACTATAGAGTGTAACCTTTATGTGATTTTATGAGATTCCCTGTTATGTTATTGTAATAAAAATCAAATATCTTTTCCAGGTTAAGACATGTCTCTTTGTCTCTCTATGTCTCTCTTCATATTTGGACACTTGTGCTATTTTTGTATGTTTCCTTATAATGTCAAAGAGCCAATTCAGTATAGCTCTGTAAACAACCTTGAATTAATGAATTGACCTAAACAGAAATTGCTTGAGCGCAGGCCTGAAGTTTTTAGCTAAATATAAAATATCATCGGATATTCTTAGTGTTATTGCGATCTGTGGCTCTGGAAACTATTAGCAGCACTCCGAAATTCCACCCACTCCCACTCTCGTCTGTCTCTCGCTCTCTTCACTGACTCCCCCATTCATGCTCGCTCTTCAGTAAACTACTTTTCCCACAATTCCACAGGTGTAAAGTGAGGCCAGCTACGGATGCCCGGATGGTTTTGACAGCCAGGCACGTTGGAGAGCCACAGCGGAGACTGGGGCGCACGAGAGACAGAGAGAGCTGGAATTGCAGAGGCAGAGACGCACGGTCGATTTTCGCCTCCCGCATACTGGGGAGTCCCGTGCCTGTCACCAAAACCGGAGCACAGGGCTCGAGTGCGGTTATGTCATTACCTAAATTGGGGACCAGATTGTGAACCAACGTCCCAGCTCACCATTTTAATTTTTTTTCTCCTTCCTATTGTGTTTTTTGCTTTCCCATCTTTGCGGGTGCAGATATTGATGTGAGCCAGAGGAGCGGTTTTTCCATTGAGCCGCACGAGACGGTGGCGCGCGACGGCAGGAGGAGACAACGTTTACATTGATGCGGGAGGGCTATCTCCCTCCGACGCGGGGAGCCCAAATGAAGGGGACATGCTGCTCACTGACGGCTGCAGCCTTCAAGGCAACGGCTCCGTGACCCGGGAGAGGAGAGGAGCGAAGCACCGTCACCGACAGCTGCGCGAGCCCACAGCCCCCACCAGCCAACGTTGACACCGCAACAGCTCCAGCAGCCAGCGCGAGCCCCCCAGACTCTCTCTCTCTCCCCTGGTGAGTGCGCGTGCAGCGTCTTGTGTACACAACACCAAAAAATTGCTTACCGTCCGCTCAGCCAGTTGTGCTGCGCACCTCTGGTTACGTTTCTTTTTGAGTTTTTTTTTTTTTTACATTAACCTCATCGATGCCGCTAACGGACCGAGTCTTCATTCGCACTGCTCGTGCTGCTGGGTCATCTGGGCTTTACTGTGGGCATGCAGCGTGTATGATGATGCTCACACACACACATACATACAACGCGCACACACGTAATGTGGTTAAATGCGCGCGCAATGAACCCTGTTAACCCCAACGTGTTTTTTTTTTTTGAGTATCTACATTCTTCTCAACCATTACCTTTATTATCACTGAATTTACATACAGCGTAGGCAGGGCAGCAGGATACAGTACCTCCCCAGGTAATGGCACACACACACACAGACACTTGTTTTGTTTATTTGCTACCTCCGTGGGTTGACTTTTATAATACTGAATTTACATGCCAGCGACACATACCAGAGCTTTGACTGTGAGTCCAGCTCCTGATGTTGGATAGGTGTTTTCTTTACATAGAAACAGGAGACACCAAGGTTAACCGGTGAGCATCCGTCCAGTCCCGGGGTTTCCATCCCGGCGGCCCCCCTGAGTTGTCAGGGCAGTTATAGGCAGGACACAGCAGCAGCAGCAGCAGCACATCCTGCAGTGGCAACAGGGCCAATGTGCTGGAGAGACAAGGCGTGCTCATGGTGGTGATTATCAGCTCTCGTCTGTGAGGGGGGGTGACAAAGGGAAGAAAAGAGTGCATGAAGGGAGGAGAGGGAGAGAGGATAAGAGGGAGAGAGAAGTCAATGTCGATGTCTGGGCAGTGACAGTCCGTTATTTAAGGGCCCCTCAGAGACGTGCACAGGCTACCCTAGTGCAGGTGCCGTTAGTATGCAGAGTGATGCTCGGTCTGTGTGTCTGTCTCACACTCAGCCATGTCTCACGCTCTCATTCGCTGGTTTAAAGAGTGAGTTCTCTTATTGGCAGGTTCACTTGGACATAATGAATAATTTCAGCGCTCGGAATGCTGGAATGAAAAGGAAATATGGCCTTACCTTGGCATGCAGCCGCCGTCTGATAGACTTTGTTTGAGTGCATGGCCCTGTGTGTAAGGGGGGGGGGAGAGAGAAACGGAGAATGTGAACATATAACAGCTTAGGCCCTATTGTGCTTCCTACCTGTGTGAGCGGGGCTAGTTGTCATAGCAACGGCCTTGTAGCTCCGTTGATGTTCCTCCTGTCCTCATTGGCAGGGTCAGCGCACCTAACACTCCACAGCTCGTCTCAAAGCTGTGTGTGTGTGTTTGTGTAAGCGTGCATGTACTTCCATCTGTGTGTGTGCGTGTGTAAGTACCTTTTTTTTGCGCCTTGCTGCAGTTCGTAGGCGTGTGGGTTGATGGCAGTGACAAGCCTGTGTGTGTGTGTGTGTGTGTGTGCGTGTGTGTGTGTGTGTGTGTGTGTGTGTGTGTGTGTGTGTGTGTGTG